CTTATATCAGCCAATTCTTCCCATAACTGCCTCCTCTCTCTATAGTCATTCGGTCCATAGACATTAGTTAACACCCATTCAAACCCATCCACCACCTGTCTAAACTTCAGGGAAACTGAAAATTGACCTATTAGTTCTTCCTTACCCTCCAGTACTTCTTTCTTCCACATTGTCACAACACCCCCTGCAGACCCCCATGAGGGCAGAACCGCCCAATTAATCCCCCTTCCTCTCCATACACTTCTTACCCACTTAATGTCAAAATCTGCTCTTTTGGTCTCCTGCAAGAGTACTACATCCGGGTCTATTTTCTTGATGGCCTCTTTTATTACTGCTCTCTTCCTAGCACCATAACAAGCAAAAAACACCTTCACCTTCCAAAAACCACAGAACCCACATCCAAACCACCAAAACCCTCAACTAGCTTTAAAGACATAACAAAAAATAGCTTCAAAACATTTCCATACAATAACATCTCCACCATTTTTTTATTTGAAAAAAGGTAAAGTATGGTTAAAATCATTGTTAAAATCTGTGTACAATTTTTTCATCAATAAAAAACCTGTGTACAATAACATCTCCATTTCTAAATCCACCAATCAAATCCTAGCACCATGATTTTATTTTCCTTGGCTGATATTAATTCGCTTTCTTCAGGTGCACCCAATCATCTTCTATAGTACAACTATACAACTCTATAGAGCCTTTTCCACAGATGGGCACACATCAACTAAATATGTAACTTACTATATCATAGGTTGTAGTATAATTTTTATAGTTTAAACAGGTTAGCCTTAAGCCTACGAGCCTTGGCTATGAGCCTACTTGTGCCTTTTAAAACAACTACCAAACAAAAGAAAAATTTAAATGGAGGGAAAAAAAGCGATGAAGCAATGCGTGAACACTGGACCAATGGCATCCACGCAAGGTAAGCATCCTTAGAAATCAATTATAAATCCTATAACCTAACTCCACTTCAAGGTTCATTAAAATAATGTCTACCTTAAATTGTGAGGGAATTTTACAAGTTAACTAATTTAAATGAATTATGAATTTTTTTTATAAGTAATTAAAATTTTGTTTTAATTTTATTAAAATAAAATTTTTAAAGGAGCATTATATTCTAAAACCCCAATTAATGTTGTTGATTGATTCTAGTGTAGAATCAGTAAGCTCAAATACCTTTCTCTTAAGTCTTACTTATATGCCAAAGAATGAGGTTTAAGTATTTTCTATGCCTCACATTTGTTTCCTATTGATTTGTTTTATTTTTGGAAAAAACTAGTGAAAAGTGTTCCAATATTTCAACAAAATTTGGAATGTTTTGACATAGGAAAGATCTATGATGCCAGAAAGACATGATACCAGAAAGAATTTGACCAATCAAACCCCCCCCCCCACCCCATGAATTTTGATGAAAATCCACCTGATTGGTTACCACTTTAATAATGCCAATTGATCAGTTATAAGTTTTTCTTGGTATCATGTATTCATGTCTTTCTGGCATCATAGTCAAACCCTTTGACATAACAAATTGAAGACTTCAATGATATATCAAAACTTTTTGAAATATCAGGAAAATATTGGAGATGTTTGAAACATTTTTTGTTCCAGGATGTTTTCATTTTACAGCTTAGGGAAATGAGGAAATTTTTATATTTGGGGAACTGAGAACAAGGAGTTAAAAAAATAAATAAATAAAAGCATTGAACTCAATGATGAAACCAGTCAAAGAACATGCAAGTAAATATTGCCAGTTTTTCATATGTATAGCTAGTGTTGGCACTCAAGCAACATATGCCTACAATACACAAACATATCTAGTGCCATCAAGTGATCAACAAAAGGAAACTTTCACATCTACAAGCATACACAGGTTTAATATTATAAAACAAATAAAAACATTCAATCAATGAAAGAAATCAAAGATGCCAGTTGGCTTGCTGGTAAGATCTCCTGCTTGTTGTAGTGGGGATTTGAGATTAAATTTCACCTTCATCAGGGATTGGGGGTTTGGTGTTTTGGGGAGATGGGCCTGTGTAGCCCATTTTCCTAGTAAATAGGCAAATATTTCCAGCCTTTTATATTGATAGTTGGAACATTAACTCAGAATTTTATGAAGCTATAGCCTATGGGTAAATTTTAGCAATGGTAAACCTTTCATAGTATAGGTTATTTCACCTAACCCAGCATGTCATAACCTGAACATTGGTTAAAAACACTCGTACAGAATTAAAAAGCTGTCTTAATTTATACATACATTCTGAGAATTGGTGTCACTTCCTTCACTTGATCCTTCACCTGCGCTCTCAGCACTGAAGATGCCAGGTTTAATTTCACAACCGGTTACATAGGTCAGACTCAGCAAGACTTGGCATCCTTAAGCTTTCTTATAATTGTGAAAATAATCCACTAAGTATACCCATCACATCATACCTTTGGGAAAGGACTCCATTGGCAGATGCCCCCTGTGTTTTACCCATCTCATTGTTTTTGCCTGTAAGCATATTCAAACTCCCTAAACTTTCCTTTGATCTTTTGAGCGGACTTCTTTCTTTACCATCTGAAGAGTTGCCATCAGCTTCTGTTCCACCATGGACAGTTCCCTAAAAGATATTCATATGTTATTTCCCATTCTGTCCATGTAGACATAAGTCTATTACTGATTGAAGAACACCAAATAAAAGAATGGTTCAGATTACTCACAGTAGCATCAATGTTACCATTTGGGGTAGGCATAGCAAAAGGACCAAATGGATGAGAGCCCTGTTCAAGATTTCCATGAAAGATTGAGAGTTAGTAACAACCAAAACCATTGGAGCAGGTGAAGTAACAAAAATTTAAGAAGAGATAACTTGAACTGCTGGACTGCAAGAAAATACCAGAGGAATAGATGCATGAGCATATAACCCGCCATGGGGATACATTGCAACATAAGGAGGTGGTGCGGTCCCATATGGAGGCATAAGGTGCTGCCAGGTAAACAAACTAGAACAGTTAAGAGAAGATACCACAAAAGGTTAAAGTAGTTAAACAATCATCACTCTTTCACATTTTGTTATTATAACTACAACCAAAGGTCTGAAGTTCCTAAAAAGGAAACCCATTCCCCCAATTTTCTTCTTGTCACTGGTGAATTCATAATCAATGATTTTTTTTTTTTTTTNCAACCTACTCTGCAAAAAAACTGAACAGTAGGGAGAGTAGAAGATACAATTAGGAGCATTCCATTTACAGTTATAGCTAAAAGAGTACTACAATGGAAACCCATTCCCCCAATTTTCTTCTTGTCACTGGTGAATTCATAATCAATGATTTTTTTTTTTTTTTTGATAAGCAGCAGCAAATGGTTTCATTCCAACAACCTACTCTGCAAAAAAACTGAACAGTAGGGAGAGTAGAAGATACAATTAGGAGCATTCCATTTACAGTTATAGCTAAAAGAGTACTACAATGAAAATCCCATGCCTGTTGTTCCCCACACTAAGCTTTCCCTGTTTACCCCTTACTTGGCTAATGCATCTTCCTGTTGAGGTGATTCCCTATTGATTCAAATAAATTGTGGCACTCGCAATAAAAAGTATTTGTGATCGGACCTAAAAAGAGTCTTAAATAATGAAGAAAATAAAGTAAAACAGTCCAGAAATTATCTAGAATAGGAGAGAGGAAGAAGAGAAGAGATAGTAGAAAAAAACTAGGGATGAAGAGCAGAGAGATCAAACTAACTTTTGATCTCAACTGCTGCCCTCTTTTATTAGAATTATAATAATGTGTAAAATTACATTTATGACCCTACTTAAATAATATGAGAAATAAAAGAAAGACTACAAACATCTGCTGACCAAAACATTAAACAGAAAAAACTACTTCTAACAGTATCCATACGATACAACCAAATGGATGGGATGCAAAACTAGCATCAAGGGAAACCTTGGCCTCTTCATGGAAGGTTATTCATTCTATTCTTGACACTTTTCACAAATTCATTAGCTATGGAGGAAACTTGATTAAATTATACAAAAGATTGTGGTGGGGAAAACCTTTATTGATTAAGAGATTTCTAATGTTGTATTCACTTTCCTCCTACAAAAACTTTCAATATCATCCTTTGTGCCTTCTTTGGAATTTCCTTTAGCCTAGGGCTTTGATTGGTAACTTGCAGATTGTCAGCACCAACTTTGGCCACCCTTAGAGCCAAATCTTATCCCAAAGCCTCAAACACCTCCTGAAACCTTGAAAGTTACTTGAAGACCCCCTGCAACCATCTCCTTGGAAACTGAACCTCTAAACTTGCCATTAAGCTCCAAATACCCTAAGACCCTTACACAACAAATTTCATCCAAATATACCTCTGTTTACCCTTTGATCAAACTAAGATTCCATTTCAGCCCCTCCCATTTGCTAACACTCACCAAGTTTCACCTCAAGATTCGCTTTCAAACAAACCCAAATTCCAATCTAAGCTCTCTTAATGGCTAACAACTGTGGTTCAAAATTACTTCCTTATTTGACTTAACTCTACACTTCATCGCCCCAGAATCAATCCTAACCCATAGTTGTCAAGCGACGCCTAGGCAACGAGGCGCCCTTTGAGGCTCACCTCGCCTAATCGCCAAGCAGTTTGTACTTTCTATTATAAAATACTTTTTTATTCTATATTTTTTGAGATTATAATTATAAAATAAACATTATTAAACTAAAATATTCATTTTGTGTGTTTATATACTAATTTCTTTTTATTATTTTCTTATTTGTTAGGGTTTAATCAACACAAACATTGCTAGATGCTGTATTGAACCCTCAAAGACTTCAAAACCTTTACCAATAAGTAAGGAAGAACTTAAAATTTTGTCTAATTAACACATTTTCTTTTTCTTCTTCTTCATCAACACTACTACTACTACTTTTTCTTTTCTTCTTTTCCTTTAACAAAAATAAGAGTTCAGCCCCTATATTTTTTGAATTTTCTTTTCCTTCTTTTTCTTCTCATAAATATGTTGATTTTCTATACTTTAACATGAACTTTATACTTTTCTTATGAAAATTATAAATGATTATTAAGGAAATATGGTTATGGTACCTAGGGAACTGCCCTAGGATCTATACTTTTTACATAAAAAAATCCATTGCCTAGGTGACTAGGTGCCTCCCTGCCACCTAGCCTCACCTTGGCGCCTTCAAAACTATGTTCTAACCGTCTGGATTTCTTATCCAAACTCATCCCCAACCTCAAAACCTTTCCTACCTATCTACCCCAACACTGCTTAAACATCCCTTAAAAGTTGCTTAAACACCCATTGAGAGACCTGACCCTTCTTGGATCCATCAACCCTATTTTTTAACTCCAAACACTTTGAACCCCCTGCACATCAAATTTCATCCCAAAACAACCGGGCTTCCCCATTTTTAGACAAAGATTGCATCTCATCCCTTTCCATTGATTGGAACCTTCCAATTTCAAATTGCCATCAAACACCACTCATGATCAATTGACCCTTGACATTAGATTACAGACCCCAAAAAATCCCCACCCACCAAATTTCATCCTTAAAATCCCACATTTAACCCTCAATCAAGCCAAGATCCCATTTCACCCCCTCTCATTAGCCAAAAACTAATAAAGCATTAAATCCCCATCCTCTCAGCATTTTAAAATCAATCCAATGCCACCATTAAATCCAATATCCTCAAAAATGTGCGCCCACAAAATTTCACCCAAAAATACCTCCATTTGCCCCTACATTTAAAAAGATACCATTTCCTATAATTTGGTTGATCAACTAGCTGAGACTACATTAAACTTCCTATACACTAGAACTTCTTTTTCTTTTACCCAAAATACCCTAAATACCCCCACTTTCCCATGTTAAACCCTAAAGTACCCCTTCTTTTTCTACCTACCCTCACAATATGACCAAAACACCCCTAAGACATTCCAACCTTGGCCTTACACCCCTAAAGTAAAAATAAAACAAAAAAAAAAACAAAATTACTCCATAAATCCTTCTTCTCCCCAAACTACCCTTACCTCTACTTGGACTTTTTCACCCTCCAACCTTTTTCCAAATTACCATCATTTGCTCCCACCTAAACCTTATAAATGGGAGGGAGAGGTCATCCATTCAATCATCCAGAAAAGCCATCCCCCTTAGTGCCCCCATGTTTCTAACAATATGTTCGAAACAAATAGAGAGAAGAGGAGAGTTCAAGCAACATGGTTAGACCTTGGAATCACCCGTGACTTCTCCTATGGCTCCCTCTTTTCTCTTATTCCTTGTTCTCTCTCACCAAAACCTCTTTATTCTACCTACTCAAGCCTATTCACCCATACATAGGATACACCTTGGATCACCCTTATAACTTGAAACAATTTCTCACCACTAGATGGATTGCAGGGGCATTTTCTCCATCAAAATACGCCTCCACAAGGTAACATTAGGAGTGTTCCAGCTCCTTTTTTTTCCTTCTTTTCTTGTAGTGTCCTTACTATGTTTTAATTCCCAAATGTGAGGATTGCTTGGGGAGTAGGTTGCAAGGCTTAACTTCTAGTCCTACACCCCCTGTTCTCTCTATAAGATTTAGGTTCAGAGGATGAGAGGAGGTGAAAAATGGGGGACCCAAGAATTGCCACCCTACTAGACTCTAAACTGATAGTGGAACAAATTAGAAGCAGCTCATGCTCCCCCAGTGGCATGAACAAGTTTTGGTTTCTCATTTACGGTTCTTGTTAGTTGTTTTCTTTTCTTTTTTCTTGGTTCTATGTTTTACTTTGTGCAAGGATGGTTATGGACAGGGGACCCATCGTGTTTAGGGAAGAAATGCCTAAAACCCTTATCTTCGGCCTAGAATTCCTGAGTCTCTATTGAAAGCAGACCGGTTCAGGACTCAACCCCCTGCCCCCAGTAAGGTGAGTGACAACTTCAAGCAAGAGCATCCAAAAAAATTGGGATGTTGACACAGATATTATTGAATTATGTAAAAGAATATTATGTTACAAAAGGATTGTGCATCATTAAAAGAGGTTAGCCATAGCTACCTACCCCTATCCCTACCCCATATTTACAATACAATTGCATTTCCTGAATTGTGAATCAGCAACCAGCTGGTTGGTAAGGTCTCCTGCTGGTCGTAGCAGAGACTTGGGATTGAATCCTGCCTGCACCCGGGTTGGGGGATGGGCTACCCCCCGTTGTGTAGCCCTTCAAAAAGAAATTAAAAAAAAAAAAAAAGAATTATAGACCCCCAATATGATTATGCATGATTTGCACCCTACTTTGCCAACAAATCAGCTAGACTACTAGCAGATCAATAGATCAACAGGAAGGATGCTCTCAATTCTTTAGTCAAACTTACCACTTCTTTCATTGAGTTCCTATGCTGCCAAGTTCCAACTTCCAAGTGTACTGTGTTTAAGCTATCCCATGATTACCTTTGAGTCCTACCACAATGTTCCTATAATTCAGTTGTTTTCCCAATCTTAGTCCTTGTGGCACAGCTAAAAAGTCCACCCTGCTTTGGTAACCTTGTCCTACAGGCCCTGAATTAATAGCCATTATATACCCTAGGTCCAAACAACACCCCCAGCTCCTGACCTACCTGGATTTCCACCCTACGTCCATCAAAATTGAGATTAATTGGAGAGGATTCCATGCAATACTGCTGGATTCCTTTTAAATGATGAGGCAGAAACCAGTAACCATCTTCTAAGAATGTCATTGATTGATAAATGCTGAAATATACTTAGGCTCTTCACACAATGGGCAACCTTCTCCATATGTTCTCAATTAATGCTTCTTTCATATGATTTCATATGAGATATCTCCTTGAAACCTGGAATTTTGTTTGTAAGAGAGGGCTTAGAGATCAGTATATGTAGAGGTTATAGAACCTCTTGAAACTCTAGAGGGTGCTTGTTTGGACTATGAGGCAGATTGGAAATTTTAGTAAATAGACCACCTTGGTCACTTCTCTCGTGCTTCTTTTTCAAAGCCCTCATATTTTCTTCTCAAACCCTATATGTCTCAGTCCTAACCCCCTAAAATAAGAGCATTCTATTGGAGGTATTTCATGTAAAGATTAAAACTTGTGAGCTCCTCCAAAGAAGTACTAATTGGACCTATCAATCAACACGAACCTTCTTTGTAATATAAGTTTTGAAACCATAATCCACTTACCAATCTCCTGTTCATTTTTTGGAAAAAAGATAAAGTATGATTTCATTAAAAAAGGGAATTAAAAACCACCCAAAAACTCAGGCTTTACAGTGAGAGCTCTTGTAACAAAACATATACCAGTGACAAAACAAGACCTGCTCACAAGTTATAAACAATTAAATTATCAACAAAAGCAGTCCCTATAAATTCCTAGCAATAGCATACTATTAGCCAAGAAAAAAGGGAATCCACCACCCACCACCGGATCTTATCCTGTTGGGATTTCTTATTCATTTGTTAGTAGCATTTGGGAATACTTTTTGCTCTATTTGGTGCTAGGTGGGATTCTCCGCAGAATATAAGTACATTGCTTTGGGCCTTTCGGCTAGAGTTTTAACTTTTTATCCCCAAGAAAGAGGAGGAAGATTTTGTGGAGATGTACAAGAACCACCATCCTTGGGCAATTGGGAAGGTATGCAATTTCATAATATTTTCAGGTAAAATACAATCAAAAGAAACATTAATTGGGTTGATACAAATCAAGGCCATACATTGGGTCAAAACCATGGAGTTTCCATGCTTCAATATAGATGATATCCTCAAAAAGTGGCTAGTAGTGGCATATAGGAGGAATAGAAGTCTTATTGCCCAGACAATCCACCACAAAATATGACCAAACTGAATTTTGATGGTTAAAGTATTGGAAATCCAGGTGAATCATGAATTAATGATGTTTTCAGAGACTATAGGGATGACATAATGGCATTTTCAGCCCAACAGCTCTAGGAAACTCAATAAGAGCAGAATTACAAGCTGTAATGCAAGGACTTGGATTTGCATAGACAGCAGGCCTTTGAAAACTGAATATGGAAGGAGACTCACAGGTATTAATTAAATGGTTTAAAGGAAAATGGAAGAGCAATGGCACTAAGACATCAGATCAGAGAAGCAAGACAGCTAGCTAGTACCATAAAAGTGGACTTCTCTTGGATCCCCAGGTCTACAAACACCCTTGCAGACTCGTTAACTCAAGGAGTAAACACTTTAAAGTAAGGAAAGCCTTCTGATCTATATATAGTTAGATACCTTAAACATGAGACAATGGAGGGGAAAAGCAATGAATTGGCTCTAATGTAAAGAATGGGATAGAAAGTATATACACCATACTGCAATATAACCGTTGCTTTCCATACTATCAATAAATTTAACCAGTTACTAATCAAAAAATTCCTCCAACATTGAAGAAATCAATTGAATAATTGAAACCTTTCTTGTTGATCAGATTGTCTTCATCTCAAGTGGAGAAATTCACAAGCATTTACTAAATTTGAAGGGACATCTAAGATTCCAATTGTAATTCATAGGCAGATCATACCAGCTATTTCTGACAATCCAATTCATACTCTATAAAAGGTAGATGAGCTTCCACTTGGGTGGATTCAATTTCTCTTTGATGGGTTCAAACTGTTTTAAATGTAGGAACTAGAAAGAAGGGAAGAAAGGGCAAAGGAGAAAAATTCTTCCAGTGAATTTCTTCCTCCACTGATCAAAGTCAAAATAGCATGTCTCTGACATTTAGACTTGGTGGTGAGAATCAGCGTAAGGCAGTTGATTTGTGAAGAATGCGTTTAGCTGGTTTGAGTAGTCTCCATTTCATTTTAATTCTAAGCAACCCCAGACTGAGCTGCTAAATGAAATAAAGCAAATCATATGCATTAATATATGAATCTAGGTTAGACGTATTGATCCCAATAATGGAACTAATATGAAGAATTTATACCTGAGCTCCCCACATGTACGGATGAGCCTGGGGACTTGATGCCACAGAAGAATGAAAGAAGCCATGTGGGGGAATAGGTGAATATGCCTGTTACCAAGACCGAAGGTTAATATGATAAGATTGAAATATAGACTAAAAGATAAGTTTTCACCAGCAGTACCTGAAATCCAGCCCAATCTGGATAAACTGCGGCAGTGCTAGTGGCAGAAGGCTGCCCCTGAACAACACAAAAAACAACAAACAGTTTGAGAAAATGTCCCTGAGAATGGAACCATAAATCCTATCTGAACAAATCTAGAAGTGCTGTTTCTATAAAGAAGTAGACCTGTGTTGTAGGCGTCTTTACCACCTTTGATGATGATTCCATCTCATTGCTCCCCATGGTTCGAGAGCAACTCCAATTAAAACCCTCTCAAGACATCAGATTTCTGTAACACGTGAATGTTTTAAAACAATTTATAACTATAAGGTGGTTATTAGTTACTAGATTTATAGAAAGCATAGATACTTTTTGATAATTAAAACCCCGAAAAGGAAGCAGAATTTACTAATAAAAAGTAATAATCAAGTGAACTGTACTATGATCTAAGCTAAGGTAAATAATATCAAATTCATCTGATGTCAAAGGGGACAAAGCTACAATGCCAGAATCCTAAAACATTCAAACAGAATGCAACTTTCAATCTATCAATCCGAACACTCACAAATCAAAATTTACAACTGATGAAAGCCCAACGGACTCATCTAACCACAATTGAGAAGTAATCCAGTGAGACTACTGAGATTTACATGAAAAAGAAGCCTTTCCTTAAAAATAGCAAGAAATGATGATTAAATCCATATAAGAAGCCGAACCTGCTAAGTAATTAGGGCAAAATCGTGGACCGGACAACACTTGATTCCTGCAAATTGAAGAATATGAAGGCACAAACGATGAAAGGATAAAGAAATTAATAGAACAATTAAGATTTAAGATTTTTACTTTAGAGAACGGATTCCAACGTCTTCTATAGAATTTCAGTTCATAGAGAGAGAGTGAAATCCTCCTCCTCTCCTCTGTTTGTCTGTTTTAGTTTAACTGCTTCTTTCCGCCGTACGCTCGCAAGATGTGTAGCCGTATATGGAATACATTAAAATATGTACAGAGCAATAATACTACAGTAATGATCCATTGCCACCACGGATTTCATATATCAAACTGAGAAACTGTAAGCAGTACAAATACAAGAGGAATGATGGTATTGCACTTTGTCATTATATGTTTTAGGATGCCCGTGATAGACACTTCCGTAGCACTAGCATTATCCATATGCCCTGATTCCCTGACCTGTTCACGGGCCGGGTGGGGCTAGGTTTGGGCTAGGCTGTACCGGGCGGAAGACCTAGCCCGGCCAAACCGTCGGGCTTAGATGTTGAACCGAAGCCCAGTCCTCGTATAAAGCTCTAAGCCAAGCTGGAAATTGGGCAAGAAGTTTTTTGTTTTTCTTCTCTCAACAATAGAATTAATCTATTCATAATAAACGACCTCAAAACCTAAAAATACTGAACTACGACGTGATAAAAGAGAAAATGAATAAAATAAATATATTAAATATTGTTGATATATTTTTATTATATAAAACATTATTGGGGCAGCTTTTTTTTTTTTTTTGAGAAAACCTGAACCGAGCATAAAATATCAGGTTTAGTGTTTTGGGCACAAGTCTCAAACCACGGGTCTAAAATCATGTTTAAGCTCGACTCGACAAAGAAGAATTGGGCACAGTCACATCCGATCATGTATTGGAATATCTCCTATGAGTAATAACATACAATTATGGGAGATGTTCCGTATGTGCGGCTGAAGTATGCTATGAGGTCAGTGTGAGCAGTACTCTGTGAGGAGAAGATCCGGGCTTGACAAAGAATGGACTGGGTCGTGCCAGCCTCTACATGTAAAGAACTATAAAAGGATAGACTTGTTCATGGGCCGAGTGGCCCAACGGGCCAGGCCGGGTTTGAACAGGTATATGGGCCCGCGGGCTTAACCTCGGACCAAAAAGCCCGCCCGCAATAAATTCGAGTCGGGTTCGGGATTTATCAAAATAGCCCGACCCGGCCCGACCTATAATTAAACCTAAAAACCCTAATCGAATACCCATCTTTTTTTCACCTCTTTGCCTCTTTCCCTTCTTTTTCCAGCCGAACCTTTCTTCTCCACATCTTCTTTCCCTTTTTTATATTCTTTTTTTAATGTAAATAAATTCTTATTTATATTGATTATTGAATTTAGAATTTATATTAAATTTATATTCTTTTTTAATGTAAATAAATTCTGATTTATATTGATTATTGAATTCAGAATTTATATTGAATTTATATTCTTTTTTAATGTAAATAAATTCTGATTTATATTGATTATTGAATTCAGAATTTATATTGAATTTATATTCTTTTTTTAATGTAAATAAATTTTGATTTATATTGATTATTGAAAAGGGAAAAATTCTAATTTTTTTTATTAGGTCGGGCTTCGAAATCGGGCTCGGGCTTCGGGCTTTTTATCAGGGTCGAGCTCGGGCTTGGGCCTAACATATTTCCATTAATGAAGAGTAAAAGCGCAGCCCGAGCCCGGGGCAGCCCAGCCCATGAACAAGTCTATAAAAGGATTATCATGGGTCGACCCATTGAGCCCACTCAAGGTTTGATAAGGATGCTCAAAACACTTCAAACTGCTTGAGCCCGACCTAGTTTGCACTATTGGTCCAATAAGGCAGTAATATGTGATCAGGCCCAGCCCATGATAGTGCATGCACACCAAGACACGCTTACACTTCTATGTTTGGTAATTATCATTAGGGGTGTCCATGAAAAATCGAAAAATCAAACTGAACTCAGAAAACCAAACCGAAAAATGCGGTTAACTGAACCAATCGATTTGGTTTTGGTTCTGTATTTTTGAAAAACTAAAGGACCGGTTTGGTTTTCGGTTAACCCATGAAAAAATCAGTGGCTAACCGAACCGACTAGTATATATATTTATATGTATATTTCTATATATTATATATAAATATATATATATTCATTATATATATAAATATATACATATATTATATTTATAATAATCTATTTTTAAATATACTATATATTTTTTTAATATTTATAATATATTATTTATCATTTATTATTTATAATATAATATTATACATATATTTATATAATATATATTATAAATATAAAAAACCAAAAAACTGAAGAACCAAACTGATTAAACACCGAAACTGACAGGCCGGTTAACCAATGGTACCTATTCAATGGTACCTAGGTAGTGGGGTCACAAGCTATATATAAATTCTCTTTTTCCTTGATTTTTGTATTCTATTTCCATTATTAATAAAAATAATATTAAATAATTTGTATTTATCACAATTATATTCTTAATATGATGAATAAATAATATTAGATATGTTTCCATAATTTCTATGTTTTTATAATTTACTATATTTAATTTATTTTTTATTTTTATTATTTAATTAAGACATCTTGGGATGATCCATTTGACCTAGAGAGTTTAACCATTGCCCCATACCACTTGCATAGATGGAAAATTGGTCTACTTTTGGGTCAATTTCATTGTATTCCATTTTCATTATTGTTAGTATAGGGCTCTTAATGAACAAAATATTGGTCCAATCCAATCTAGTCAAATATGACCAATCCAAAGGGAGGTCCAATCCAACCAAATGAATACTTTGAACCATTCTATGGTCCAATTCAATGTCTAGACTATCTAATCTGTTCAAATTGGTTTTAATTTAGATTGGGTCCAACTCAAACCTAGTCCATTAACACTTGTACTCTTATCTTTTGTTAATGGACCACATATTGGTTCAGTGCAACCCGACTTGTTATAAATCCATTACAAATGGACCATGTTCAATCCAATCCAATAATTACTTTGGACCATTAAGTTAGGTTTGGTCCAATTCAATATATCTTATTTGTTCATCCAATCCATTTATATTGATTTTGATTTGGACAGTGTCCAACCCCAACCCAATCAATTGACGTGACAGGATCTACTCCTGACAAATGGGCGCCTCACAGGTACATCCATTGTGCATTGAGAACATCTCTCGTGAATGATAACTAAAAAATATGGGAGATGTTCCAAATGCATGATAAGATGTGTGTGTGAGGCGCCAGGTGTGAGGAGCAGATCCGATCTCTCAATTGACACCCCTAATTATTAGTATAAAAGAAACCTTATTTTTCACACTTAATTTTGTTTAATATGACATAATATTAGAGATATACTAAGATTTTTTTTTATAAAAATTATATACCTTTTGTATTTTTTGTTTTTATTTTTGCAAATATATATTTATCATTTAATCATGGCATTATGAGTTGACATATTTGGTCCAAAAGGTTGGACCATTGACTTGCCATCTAGACATGAAAATAGCTTCATTTCTATATCAATTTTTTAAACTTTGTATTTCATTTACATAATTAATAAGAATAATTATTGTTTGTCAAAATTATTTTGTTTAATATGACTAATATACGATATTAAAGATGTATCTAATTTTTTCTATTTTCTATATTTGCACAGTCCTTTATATTTTTCTATTTTTTAAATTTTATTACTTAACTATGATATCATGGGTTAATCCATTTGACTCAAATGGTTGAACCACTAACCAGCCACACCAATATGAAAATGGTTTTATTTCTATGTTAATTTTAGATTTTGTATTCTACCATCATTAATAAAAAAATTTCTTATGAGATTTGTCAAATTTTTTCTACAAATTTTTTATCTTTTGTATTTTTATATACTTAAAAAATAGTATTTGATTATGCCATAATGAGTTGACCTATTTCATTTAAATGGTTAAACTACTTACCCACCACTTGAAAATTAATTGTTTATTTGTAGGTTTGTTTAAAAAATATTATACTATTTAAATTATTGTTCATGGATTTAATTAGTGAAATTTAATGATGAGAAACAAAAGTAATTAACTTAAATACATAACTTAATGAGAGAGAATAAAATGAATTAATAATAGTTGTGATGGTGCGCGATTTGGATGCTCCTAGCTGGAGGGCAGCTCGGGTGTCGGTTGCTTAACTGGCCGGTTGAATTGCAAGAAGACAATACTTAGAGAGCCCGGGGAGTGGCTTACCCAATGTGGGCACTCCAATGCTTAAGTTAGTATTTGGTAGTGTGAGCTAAAAGCTTGTATGCTAGTAGGCTAGTGGGCAATAAATCGCACATACCTTGTGACATTGGGGTTGGTGCCCTTATATAGACGAGTTGTCGTAGGTCTCACGAAATACCCCCGAGATCTTTGGCCCACACTGTTAGGAGTCCATTCCGCACCAAGAAGTGGACTTCATACTAACCGATAAGGCTTATCGAGTCCGTTCGATACAAGCGGGATAAGGATAAGGCTTGTAGACGTGCATCAAAATCCTAGAGAGGTCGGAGATAGCTGGCTAGCTTCTAGAAGTTGGCTACGTGTCACCTCGGCAGGTCGGGCCACCATGAGCTGCTTGGACCTTGGTCCTAGCTGAGGTGACCTGGCTCTGTAAGGTGGTAGAGAATACCAAGTCGATGTATCAACAGGTTGCTTCCACATGTCCGTGCATGAATAGGTCAGGCCAAATCACCCCTCATCAAGTTGTATTCAAATTACAGTTTCTATTTTCTTACCAAAAAAATTACAATTTCTACCCTTAAGGTAGCGAGGGTCCAATTTGAAAGAAAGAGGTACATTTTGGTCAAGATTTTTTTTGAAACCATGGGAACTATTCTCAGTTTTATAATAAAACCCTTTTATCAATAAAAATATACTTTGACCCAAGAGTTTCTGTAATTACATGCTAGCACATGGTTCTATGCATTGATTTTTATATGTTTCTTTCAATATTAAATCCATCCCTCTAAATTTATTTTACCTTGAATTGCAAATCTTAAGTCCAAGAGATGGGAATATTTTAACAAAAAGAATTAAAGGAATAAGGCCGATTCAAACCCAATTTGATGGGATTGGATTAGGTTAGAGTTAGGGTTCAGAGGTCCAACAACTCAGGTTAGGTTAGGGTTGATTTCCTCTAAAAACCTGATTCAACTAAACATTTTCTGCTCAAACCTTATGGCTTATATGGTCATATAACCATTTCCAAATGGTAATGG